CAGACTTGAAGGTCGTGATGGCCACTATGGCTTAAGCCGTTGTGATGATACCTGTTGAAAGGGAATAGCTACCACAAGTAGCTGTGATTCTTCAGGTTCACGTTCATTGCACCACGGTGAGTATAAGCCCCTTGGAACAGCTTTATTCGGTATGAATGGTATTTTCTGGGCGGTATAGTTCAGGCGAGTACAGTAAGTGGGTTAACTCATGAAATGTCGACCGAAATTCAGAAGTGCGTTTTCGTTTCGAAAAGACTAATTAAGTAGGATTGTAAAACTAATCATCGTGCAGTATGATTCTATAATAATTCAATTATCTCAGGATGCCGACTTTCGAAGGAACTTCTTTCGGGCTGCATGCAAAAACCATAGTCTGTAGAAACTGACCACTTAAGTAGCATAAATTTTTCTTATTGATTTTCGATGCCCTCAAAAATTCAATTATATTTCATGGGAATCCTACATAAGACTATTCATTCTTCGGTTGGTTCGGTAGAAAATTACGTCTCCTTCCAATTTTATGCTCGAATTAAGGGTATAATTTGGTTTTAACTAACTTTTCCAATTCCCGAATAATCTTGAACCCCGACCTGCCGTTACACTCGCATTCAGGGCTTACAAACTACTAACCGCATATTCTTCGCGTACGGAAAACCATATATTTCTCTACGGAATTTGAGCCATGTTGTTAACTTTACGAGCCACATTGGTAAATGTAGAGACATGACGTTTTATGAACGTCCATTTCACGCTGTTAAAAAATCTCATAATTCGAAACTTTTAAAGCCGAATTATACCCTGCCTTCGAGCATAAAATTGGAAGAAGACACCATTTTCTACCGAATGAGCAGGAGAATGCATATTTTTATGCATGTTTTCCATGAAACATAATCGAAAATTTAAGGGTATCGAAAATCAATGAGAAAAATTCATGCTACTTAAGTAGCCATTTTCTATAGATTATGATTTTCTCATGCAGCCGAAAGGAAGTTCGTTCGAAAGCCCGCAGCCTGAGGTAATTATAGAAATGTGCTGCATGATGATTAGTTTTACAACCCTACCTAATTAATCTTTTCGAAACGAAAATGCATTTTGGAATTGTGGTTGACATTTCATGAGTTAGCCCACCCGACACAGTGTTCAGTCGTGTGTGGGACGCCAGCGACTAATTGAAGAGTGGTGCCACTGGGTAAGCAGTCTACTATCAATGACCCGAAGGTCTCAGAGCACATGCCGCACTCAAGCGCGGATACTAAACAGGTATGATCTTGCAACGACGATGAGCAAAGGCAGTTTTGCGGCCTCTTCTACTACTACTACTACTACTACTACTACTACTACTACTACTACTACTACTACTACTACTACTACTACTACTACTACTACTACTACTACTACTACTACTACTACTACTACTACTACTACTACTACTACTACTACTACTACTTCTTCTTCTTCTTCTTCCTTTGTGAAGTGAATTTCGGGAGAGATGCCGTTAAACAGGTTCTGCAAGCCTAACCGATTGTGCAATTAGACTGCATATTGGGGAACCCATCGGTGTTCCTTCGATTTGCTCGTAAGTTCCTCCACTGAAGATAAAGATTCGTTAGCTGAGTGGAAAGAGTTGCATTATACGGTGGATGTTCAAAGGCCCTCTCATGACCGCATCGAGCCGTTTATGTAGAACATCGTGCGTCAAGTCCGGTGGGATAGATGTGAGTAGTGAGACCATGCCAAATGATACCATATTTGGATCAAGTCGGAAAGTTTTCCCACTGATGTCGGCGAGGAATTTGTTGACGGAATTAATAGAGGTCCCGGAACCATCTCAAAGAAAGTTTTTTCTTCGAGTCATTCATTTGGCTAGATAGTAAGCAGGGCTGCCTTTCAGGGCAACGACTAGTCGAAAGGAAATGCTGGGATTTTTAGCCTTGAATAATGCATAGAACTTGACCGGTGCTCTGCTAGTTGGTATTGTATGTAGCCATTCGTTGAGTGAGATCATATTGGCAGAATGTTATTACCGACGAAGACAGGGTAGACTGGAATGGCCATTCCAGTCTTCTTCGTCTTTGTCTGCCCATATCATGCGCCGCTGTGCGTTTGCTGGTTGGGCTCGAGAGTGATTCCGTAAGGCACAACGGGACGAGTGAGTTCCGTAGAGACGATCGGTGAGCGCCCCTCTACCATTGAGATCATATTGTTGCGAAGAAGAAGAAGACACGATCGCTGTAAGAAGAGCTTTATCAGCAACTCGACTGCATGCGATGAGCATGGGAGCCGGTAATCTTGACCGGCATTCAGGGGAATAGTAACGGCATGACAACTGAATGCTTCGACACCTAGTCAACATAGCCATGATGCAATCGGGAGGCATGTAGCGGCCTAGCGACTACATCCTATAAATACTGCAACACCTGGGCAATCCACTGCCCTTAAATGACTTTGTCGCTGAGGACGAATCTGAAACATTAGACTAATAAAGCTCTTGTTCCAGCGATTGCGTCTCCGTCTTCGCGACTACTTCCTGGAACTTGCCGCCTCGGTTATATTCTCATATTGTTGCACCTGGGTCGGTTTAAGCGTCCGGTTAACCGATCGACGACGGGCTGCTGTACGAGTTCAAAGGCTGAGACTAATATATATATATACCATTCGATGGATCACGCCATCGTCTTTCCATTCTAGATGCTTCCTTTTTTAGAGATCCCTCGAGAAGGAGGACGCGTTAAAAACAAAAAATGCGCCATTTTACATTTCTGATCAACGGGTAAAGCTTTTTCTTCGCTCTATTCCCGGACTGTTCCTCGTCAACTTCCGGACCAATCAGATTTAATGCATCCACAGTCCATGGCGCTCCCCAAAAAGGGTCTTATCGCTCACCCGTTTAGGGCACTGGGTGTATCATCATCGCAGTTATCACTAACCCTCCACACACGAATGCCGTCGTCACGCTATCGAGGTTGGATGGGTGACTCACCTGTCCCGACTACGTCTGTCCATCGATCTCCTTGGCTGATAACCGAGTTCAACTTTTATCCCTTTCCTTCGAAACTGCCAGTTGGCTTCAGCTAACTAATGGTACTTCATGTGGCTATGGTCACCTGAAGGTCTGACTCATGCGGGATTCCTAGATTGGGGTGGCGCGCCCAGGGCTGATCTGCCCTGCGGCGGATCCACCAACGCCGGACGTGAGAACATCACAGCGATATGCAAAGGCTCTGGAAAAGTTGATAATTGCGCTCACCTTACCGTGTACGTATAGAGACGGGGGAACTGTTGTTTAGGCGTGAGTATGTGCACGTCTTCCACGTGACTGCTGGCTTTTTTAACGTTCCTAAGGCGGGAGCGTGAAAGGCGTTGACAATTTAACTAAGCAACTGACAGTACAGTATGATTCAACTTAGACTAAGTCATTCATTTTTGGAAGGCGTTTCCCCGTTTTAAAAAATTTGGACGAAATATGCTGATGCTTCCAATCTTCGCTTTGAGGAATGTGCAAGCACATGCACGTGCCGTAAAAGCTCTTTAAGAGACCTATATACCGGACTTCCAAGCGAAATTAAGCTGCTAATTGCTTAAAGCAACACACTATACAGAGGTGGTTTATGGAACAACCAACCAGGAGTGCCGTTGGATGCAAAGTGCCAACAAGGGGCTAACTTAGCTAGGATGGCCGGTCAAAACAAGTATTATGGTAGGAGACGCTCACCGATCGTTCATACGGAACTCACTCGTTCCGTTGTGCCTTAAGGGCTCTCTCTCTCTCGAGCCCAACCAGCAGCCGCACAGCGGCGCATGATATATAGGCAGAATGGCATTACCGACAAAGACAAGGGAGACTGGAATGGCCATTTCTGGCTTATTGGCCGTCGTCAGCCAGCCATACCCAAGCCCGAAGTGTGGAACACCCGAGCCTCGGACTCGCGACCTGTTGGTTTAGAAGTCCACGCCTCTACCCACCGGACCACGAGCCCGTTGCCCTGTCGGTTTTCGATCGGGATTATCCAATGGTAGGGGACGCTCACCGCTCACCGCATTAAAGAATTCAGTCGGAAAACGCAGGTTTACGCTAATTCCTTGCCAGGTCTGTACAATACTGCACGTTACGGCAGGACAGTGAAAGATTAAAACAACTAATGACGGGGGGGAGGGTGTGGGAGGAGGGTAGGACCTAGGTGTGTCTAGATACACCAGGCAAGAGGGGAATAAAGATTACTTCTGAGGCCTGGTAATAGGGCCGGTTGTTAGTGCGATGTGTTTGCGATTCTTTGCTGTTACGTGTCATGGTACGCTGCGAGTAGGAATATGTACAGAAGGTGGGGTAACTCATGAAATATCAACCGAAACTCCGAAATACGTCTTCGAAAAGATTAATTAGGTAGGGTTGTAAAACTAATCATCGTGCAGCGTAATTTTATAACAATTCAGTTACCTCAGGATGCCGGCTTTCGAAAGAACTTCTTTCCGGCTGCATGTAAAAACTATATTCTGCAAAAAAGCGACTGCATGAGTGGCATGCATTTTTCTCATTGATTTCCGATGTCCTTAAAAAGTAAATAATATTTCATTGAAAACATGCATACAAATATTCATTATCTTGCTCATTCGGTAGAAAATTACGCCTCTTTTCAATGTGATGCCCGAAGGATGGGTATAATTCGGTTTTTAAAAAGTTTGTAATTACGAGATTTTTAATACCGTGAAATGGCCGTCCATAAAACTTCATGTCTCTGCATTCGCCAACGTGGCTTGTAAAGTTAATAATATGGCTCAAATCTACGGCTCATTTTTTTGAACTCCACATGGTCCCCTCGTAATACCGCAGAGCAATGTATGGCTTTCCGTACGCGGGAAATATACGGCTTGTAGGTTGCAAACCCTGAATGCAAGTGTAACGACAGGTCGGGCTCACAATTATTCGGGAATTGGAAGAGTTTTTGAAAATCAAATTACACCCTTTCTTCATTTTTACAGAGTATAGTTTTTGCATGCAACCGGGAAGAAGTTTTTTCGAAAGCAGGTATCCTGCGGTAACTGAATTGCATTATGTTTTACAACCCTACCTACTGAATCTTTTCAAAACAAACATGCATTTCGGAATTTCGGTTGACATTTCACGAGTTAGCCGACCTACTTGTTGCTTTTCAATTTCCGAGGGAATTAACTGCTAACTTGGAGTAAGTCAGTTTTAACTAAGGCGCAGACCAAAATTTGGTGTATCAATATTTGGGCCGAAGTTCATCAGCTAGAAGTGTGCTAACTCCTGAAATGTTAACCGAAATTCTGAAATGCGCTTTCGTTTCGTTTAGGGCATGCATAAAATATTCATTCTTTCACTCAGTTGCTAGGACATGACGTCTTCTTCCAAGTTTTTACTCGAAGGAGGGGTATAATTCTGTTTTCAAAAGATTCTCCAATTCCTGAATGATTTTGAATCTGATCTGCCGTTAAACTTGCAATCAGGGTTTCGAAACTACAAGTTATATATTTTCCGCGTACGGAAAACCGTACATTTCTCTGCGGTATTATGGGAAGATCATATGGGGTTCATAAAATTTAGCGGTGGATTTGAGCCATATTGTAAACTTTACAAGCAACATTAGCGAATGCAGAGACACGGTGTTTTATGAACGGGGATTTCACGGTATTAGAAAATCTCATAATTAGAAACTTTTCGAAAACCGAATCATACCCTTTCTTCAAGTATAAAATTGGAAGAAGGAATAATTTTCTACCAAATGGGCAAAAGAATTAATATTTTTATGCTGTTTTCTAGGACATATAGTTGGATTTTTAAGGACACCGAAAATCAACCAGGCTAATTCATGCTACTTAAGTAGTCATTTTTTACAATGTGGTTTTTGCATGCGGACGGAAGGAAGTTTGTCCGAAAGCCAGCATTCCGCGGTAACTGAATTATTATAGAATTACGCTGCACGATGATTAGTTTTACAACCCTACCTACTGAATCTTTTCAAAACGAAAACGCATTTCGGAATTTCGGTTGACATTTCACGAGTTAGCCCATCTACTTGAATGGCTGCCTTCGGTAGTCCGCGCCTCCTAGTTTTCGGCTGCTTGCCACGCTGCCCTCCTGTCCGCCTCACACTCCCTATCGAGCCGTTGCTGGGACGCGTGAGGCCTGTCATTAGCCTCGCGAGCGCTGTCCCGTCTCTGATTGGCTGGCGACACTGAGGCAGAGCGAAAGGCACACACACGCGCTGTGGTCTAGGCCCCTCAACGGCGGACACAG